TTTTAAGATTTCATTTATTTATTTGACAGAGAGAGGTAGAGGCACAGCGAGAGAGGGAACACAAGCAGGGGGAGTAGGAAAGAGAGAAGCAGGCTTCCCACCGAGCAGGGAGCCCGATGCGGGACTCGATCCCAGGACTCCAGGATCATGACCAGAGCTGAAGGCAGTCGCCTAACCAACTGAGCCACCCAGGCGCCCCCCATCTCTCCCCATTCTTAAGCGAGAAAGCAGCCGCTCCGGGAGAAGTGATGTGTTCAGGTCACAGCGTGTCACCGACGGGGAAGGGCCAGGCAGGGACTCCGGAGCCAGACTGAATGTTCTTTCCATCTGGGCTCCACAGCCTCCGGCCCTGGGCCAGGGGGCCATAGTGACACTAGCCCCTCCTGCTGAGGCCCTAGTGTCACCACGGGACATCCTGCTCTCGGCCTGGGCAGAGGGGGGACATTGACCCACCAACAGCACCGCATACCCACGGTCTGGCTGGGGTAGCCACCGGGCCCGGGAACAGGGACAGGCAGGAATGGCAGAGCCTGGGAGGCCCCGAGGACACCCTCCTAGGCTCCTGGGGCCTCAGGGGAGGCAGCTCACATACCAAGGCTGGGCCGTGAGGGGAGCAAAGCCTCAGTACTGAGATGGCCCAGTGGGGCCTTCGGAAGGGCCTTCCTCCACGGCCTGGCCAGCCAGCCCACGTGTGGGGATGCTCTCACTGGAAGGCCTGGAAAGCCCAGGCTCTGGACGGCAGGCCTGGGATCATGTCCCAGCTCCTCTCCGTCTCCTGGAGTCCTGGGTCTGTCTCCAGGGAGCAAGGGAGAGAAGACCCCGGGCCCATCCCACCCTTCTGCTCCTCCCTCTTGGGATCGGCCCCTAGAAATGCCCCCTTGCCCACAGTCTGGATGTTAACGGGGGGGTCAGGCTGCGCGGGGGCCTCGGGTCTCCCAGACAGTGTCTAGTCGTCCACACAACTGGCAGAACAATTTCCTTGGGTTTCTGACATGTGATTTTCCACAGTCCGGTGTCCCCGCCCAGCTCCCCAGGCCTGCTCTGCTGAGTGAGCAGAGTTCCGCCGGATTCCTTCCACTCACCACAGGACCCAGCCCCTCGGGGAGACGGGGGTCACCGCAGCCACAGGGGTGCTGCTGGCTGGTGGGGGGCAGGCTTCCAGGGCCCTGGGAGAGTCTGTGTCGGTGGACGGACAACGGCCAGCCAGTGGCGCGTCCCAGGGGAAGGGTTCCAGACAGCGTCTGCTGGGAAGCAGAATGTGGATCCTGGTGCCCATCCTCGCCCAGATGAACTCCCAATGGGTTGAAGATACAGCTGTTAAAAGAGAAGCCATCCCGGTCTTCAAGGGAAACAGGGGTCTGAGTTTGGGTTCCTCTTGGGAGAAGGTTCTCAGCAGGAACTGCAGAAGAAGTATCAAGAACTTCGGCTGGATAAAAGTTTTAGCTTTCTTTTCAAAACACACTGAAGTTTAAATGATAAGGCAAATGAAACGCTGGGGAAGGGCCTACACCGCCAAACAGAGATAGCATTTTAGGGGTGCACTGTGACCCCAGAGCGGCTCTCTGAGCCTCTGTTTCTCCCCTCCAACAAGAGGTCCCAAGGGCACAAGGACTGCCTCCGATAAATCTAGAAAGGTGTGCCTAAAAAACAGTGTCTTTGATAAAAGGAAGCTGTTCGATAAAATTCTTTACATTTCTTTTTTTAAAAATTTTATTTATTCATTCATGAGAGACAGAGGGAGAGGCAGAGGCA